CTAATATTACTTTTTAATATTAATATGATTGTGGGAGGATAAAATTGTCCAGTATGTTAAACGTACGTATCGAAATTTTTCTTTATCGATTATCGTACGCGGAGAATCAACCTTCCATACTTAAACCGATCCTTGAATCCCAATTTATATATATATATATATTTTTTTTTTTATTAAAATCCCAAAACCCCATTAAACCGATGACTCAAATAGATTCATTATATATGTTGCGAAAAAACTGCCTCCGCCAGGACTCGAACCTGGAACCTCCCCACTTTACGGGCGGGACGCCTTTCCATTCGGCAACATATATAATGAATCTATTTCAGTCATCGGTTTAATGGGGTTTTGGGATTTTAATAAAAAAAAAAATATATATATATATATAAATTGGGATTCAAGGATCGGTTTAAGTATGGAAGGTTGATTCTCCGCGTACGATAATCGATAAAGAAAAATTTCGATACGTACGTTTAACATACTGGACAATTTTATCCTCCCACAATCATATTAATATTAAAAAGTAATATTAGTATTTAATAATACTAAGACATCCGTGCTTGCTCCTTATGTGCCTTTTCAAATCTTACTGTTAGTTAATCTATTCGAGGAGCTTTCTATTATTTAGAAATATTACAAATTTAAATAGATACGATTATTGAGTATATAAATAAGATATATTAAGAGAAAAAGAGGAAAGTATTCCACAATGTGCTCCAAATATGAAACACAAACACTTGAACGAACGATTTCCTAATTGTTTTGAACTATACATTTAATATAATGGCATGCAAAAAGTCACTACGGTAAATCGCATTGATTTGTATTGTCGAACAATTTTTATAAAAACCCATCACCTTTCAAATTTTAAACCCATTTTTCTTACTCACCGAAAGGTGTCGACCACGTTCTGCTCACAGTTCTGGAACAAAAAGAGAATTGATTAGATTTATGTCTTTGACTCAACAAACAAGTATTTGTGAACACAGTTAACTCTTTGCGATCGTAATTTGAATAATTTTTATTCTGAAAATTATATCTCGGCTTTTGACCGTGAAAGGTTTAACGAAAAGGAATGTGGATAATATAAGTGTGTAAGTGTACCTTCAAGTCGAACCTTTCTCCGCCCGAACCGGATCCTCCGGTAATGCATCCTCATTCACCGGAACTCCAGCTGCCTTCTCGGCGCGGCCACAACTGTGCCATAGATCTGCAAAAAATAATTTTGCTAATCAGTTATCATAATAACACGAAAAAAAATATTTGCTAATATATGGATAACTAAAAATATTAACTGCAGGAGCACATTTTCTTGCTTTCATAGTAAAAGTTATTTAGTTGTGATAGTTACAAGATTTGCTAGTATATATATTAGCAAATCTTTTAGCTATCACAACTAAATAACTTTTACTATGAAAACAAGAAAATGTGCTCCTGCAGTTACTATTTTTAGTTGTCTATGTATTAGCAAATCTTTTTTTTTCTGTGAAGAGAAAGAGATATATCGCACGGTTTTGATGAGTAAAAGTCCGAAGTTAGTTGACAAGAGATTACAAGAATAACCAAATTCTCTCAATGTATTTTTTCCCAAAATACAAAAAAAATTGAATATGGTGACTAATCTAACAATTCTGACAGCTCGCGCTATTCATGCTGACGGCGATTCTAGTACGATGCTCGTACGGACGGGACGTTGCAATGAATCTCAAATGTATTTCAATCGACTCGGAAGTAACGCGCGACGTCGTCTATCACGTATGCCTACTTGTGAGAATTGATAGCGCGCCGTATCGTTATTTCGAAGGTCGCACGTACCTTCGCGGTAGGCTCGTACCGTTGCCAAAGATAAATCCGACAATATGCAATTATATACTCTTATTTTTACGAGATCAAAGAATAAAATAATCCGAGCGTCACGAATAATATTTATTACGCGCAATCAGCTCGTCAGTACGACGATAATTAATCGCTACCTTGTACACAGAGAGAACGATTTGGTTGAATCAAATAAATGCTTCTTTGGAATAGTCCAAACGAATTTCTTGATTGATTGAACGAAATTTTGTTTGAAGCAACAAAAATATTTATTTGCGGTTTAGTTCCAAAAAAATATTTTTATTGTGTCAATCAAATAATTTGTTTGGACTATTCCAAAGAAATATTTATTTGATTCAATAAATCGTTCTCTCTGTGTACCTGAGTCGCGAGACTTTGATTGGTTTTTTAGCGAATTTCGTCGAATGAGTGACTTTTCAGTACTTGAAAAATTATGATGCATCGCTGCACCTGATGCAATTCCGGACACTCGTTCTGACACTCACGTACATAGGACTCGATTGGAGGAACGTGTCTTAACTAACGCGATGCCGACGGGAGTTCGATTGAATATGTCGAGAGAGTCGGCGAAATATTTCAATCACCTCGACGGGAGTACGATACTAACGTGTTGATACACGTGCTCCACGATACGCGTGCTCCTCACCGGCTTGGAGTATAATGAAAACACTCGGGTGAGTGCGCGACCCACGAAGATAAGTTTAAACGCTTGAAATGTTCGGGATGTTTTTAGAGTGTTTATTGTTGTGATCGCTCAGCCGCTCGCGCAACGGCTGGCGATCGGCGGTTGATGACGTAGCCCTTTTTGCTCATTGTTTTGGTACTCCCGTGCGTTGTTTTGGATTACGTCGCAAGACTTCACGTCGACGAATGTATCGCGACACGAAGAAAATGTATCGGCGCGTTAATTACAGTTTTCATTGGGCGATTAAAATAATCTGTCGGATCTCGAAATACCCCATCGAGCTCTCCTCGATATTGCGTTAATTAATACTTTCTTTTTTTTACTGAATCGCGTTAACGTGAGTGTTAGTGCCAGTGACTGTCCGGAATGACGGAGCAGCTGAGAGCAGGATATTAAATTGTAAAGTCAAGACGAGACAGACAGCATGTCGAGATATAGACAGCAATGCATTATACATTTCCAGTTACGTGAAATCATTGATTTAGCTATAAGTAGACAGGGTTTTTCTTTGAAACTCAAGACAGACAAAATCGCGACAAGTAGTCATTTATGGAACTTAGGCTTGTGTAACGTGAATATTTCGTCATTCTCTATTAATCTTTTAAATTAGACAGAATTCGCAAGATAGAAAGACATGTGAAAAATCACATGTCTTTCAAATATATAAACACACGCAGAGTCACACAGAGATACAGGGAGACTGTGAATATAAGATTCTTTGATTCTAATAAAAGTACACATCATATTTGACAAGATCTGCATTTAATTTCCAAAAACTGCGGATCAAATTGGCAGTCTTCTTCGGCACCAAAATGGAAGCCAACTATCTTCACTTCAATATTGAAGTAAATTTCAATTACTGCGGCGCGAATGTCTTGACTGCGCTAGCTCACACTTGGACAATGCTCTATGCACTTTATGTCTCGCACATACGCCGACGTACGTGTTTGTTGCTCGCTCATTAAGCGGTCAAGAATATTTCGCACGACATAAAGCCGTCGGAGAGCTCGACTCGACGCTGGTTTTTATTGACAACCAGACGTCAACGACCAACGCGGCGTCACGCGCGTTGTACGCGAATTTCAAATAACGCTCGACGGAAAATTGCGACGCGTGTAACCACGGCAATTACGAAAGGCTCGATCAATTGCAAAATCGCGCGATCACCGCAAATGTCACGACGCGCTTGCAGCGACAAAAACAACACTAATGTTAGTGTGACTGAACTTTTTGTTATCCAGAAATCAGGTGAAAAACTCGAAAGATTTCTGTAGATTTCTGATTTTTATTCAGCCAGTTGCTCTCGCTTACCTCAACCGAGTTTTAAAGCACCTACACTGAAGAAAAATTACCTTAAAATCAACAAATATTTCTTTGATAGGTGCTATTAACATATTTATTTATAAATCTAAATTCTCTTTATTTAAACCAAATATTGTTTAGTTAAATCAGGTAAACAATATTTGATTTAAATAAAGAGAATTTAGATTTAAGTAAATATGTTAATGGCACCCATTAAAGAAATATTTGTTGATTTGAAGGTAATTTTTCCCTCAGTGTAAATGATTAAACGAATTTGGTATTTTAAGCTTTCGCAGCGTTGTCCAATACTTTGCTTGTTTTTCGAGTTTGAACTGCGTCCTTTTTGTGTTTGGTTCCAACGTTTCGTGAACATTTTAGTTCACTTCTTCAGGGAACAGGTTTTAACCGAAACGGTTTTAGATTGCCCTGCTGAAGAAGTGAACTGAAATGTTCACGAAACGTTAGAACCAAACACAAGAAAGACGCGGTCCAAACTCGAAAAACAAGCAAAGTATCGTTCAGACGAGTGTTTTCCGTCACAGTAACAGAAACATTATTTCTCGTCAACGAATTTTCCGTTCGGCCCCTATTCAGTTGTACAAACCAATTTTCTTCGCTGCGCAGCGCACGCCAGTAAATACAGCAAAAATGAACGCAGCTTCAATGTTAATTAGCGGTGGAAGAAGTAGTGGTCGGCCGCGAAACGCTCTGTCTCGACCGCTCAATCGTATTGTCCGCGCGTGTCGACTTCCGTTAGTTTTTAACGATTGTCATTTCCGACACCGATGTCACGATGTTGCGGCACGTAACCGCGTATCGCGCTCGGCCCGACGATTTCTCTCGAGCGTTTTCAGCGTTATCCGCCATAAAAGTGCTCAAATTGACCGACGCTTTTGTCTGGTCATCGCGCTTCTGCGCTTTGTTATTGTTTCAAGCGTTACGTCTGCTCGTTAATATAAGCGCCTATTTTCGCGCACTTATGCAACGATCGTAGGATCTCGAGAGCGATGCTATATTATACGCGGCTATTGTGTACCGTTATTATATTATTATTACTACCGCTTTAACGTGCTATTAACTGGGACACGCGTGTGATCCGCTTCTGGTCCGTGATATAATTTAGTAGATTTACCCACTTCTCGATCCGAATACAAAAGGCGTGAGACAGTTAATGGGATGTGTGAATAACGCGTAAACGTGGCTTTCTCGTCGCGCGGATCGATCGCGTGTTATCATTGATAATTGCACAGAGAGAAGACAGAAAAAAGGGAGAGAAAGGGGAACACAGGGAAAGGAAGAATTCGGGTCATTGTCCGCGCACGTAAAGTGTAAGGCAGCGACAATAGCAGAATCCTCATTAACGGGGTCTCCGTTAATGACAGTAACGAGCAACGCCCGATTTCGACACCGCCGCGACCGGATGCGCTATTATGACGTGAGTCAACGATTTCTTCACATCCGACAAATCGACAACTGATCGTATCGCATACGCGCGCTGCTCGCGTGCGGTTAGGCCAGTGTCTCCCAATCGAAATCTCTCGGGTCGATGACTTCTACGGAGTCACAAAATCTAAAGAGTTCTGAACTTTGTCTTGACGTTGAAGTTATGCGCGTATTTTAGATCCTTATTAATAGTCGTCATTTGAAACTTGCCTCAGGTGAAATACTTAGGTCCGTATTAATAGTTGTTACTTGACCCACGTGAGACACTCAGATTTTGAGTTAGAGTTGAGTCTTTTATTTGAATCATATATGAAACATGCGATATAAAGGAAGAGGATTCCTAAGGTCGGTTTTTGGCACCCTCTGAAATTGATCCAAAAATATCAGAATATATTTTTGTAAGATATCTATTGAAATAAAGTGATTTTATTCTAAACGGACATATTTTGGTGCCTGCTTATACTATAATTCTAATTAATCCCATTTTTATCACTAACGCTCTTGTGTCATCTCCTGCATATCATCTCCTTACATTTGTAAGTATATTTGTAGTATCGAGCGCGCGCGCACACACACAAATGTAAGGAGATGATATGCAGATGACATAAGAGCGTTGGTGATAAAAATGGGATTAATTCGAATTATAGTATAAGCAGGCACCAAAATATGTCCGTTTAGAATAAAATCACTTTATTTCAATAGATATCTCACAAAAATATATTCTAATATTTTTGTATCAATTTCAGAGGGTGCCAAAAACCAGCCTTAGGGACCCTCCTCCCTTGTAATCGCGATTCAGCTGAAAAGGCCACATCTGACATTAAATTCAAATGTGAATGTCTCACTTGAAGCAAGTTTCAGGTAATGACTACTAATACGGACCTTCATGCTCGAACGATTATCTATCTGATTGTTCTCTTTGACCCGTTTTGTTTTCTTTGTTA